AAGTGAATGTAAGGTTTTATCTTTAGGTAATCAATATGGCAACATACTGAACAAACTCATTCGTCATTAAAACGCTCATCGTGTACCTTATTACCCTAGACATTCTAAAACTATCATCTTGTACCTCAATACCCCAGACATTTTATAGCAACTTAAACAGGTTGGACACAACCCTATATATGAGTTACAGTCCTGTATTGAGAAATAGTTATTGCATTAAGTAAACAGTACTGAAATAGAAACACAGGAAGGTCTTTTAAACATTTGCGGTAACTGTTCCTCATATGCAGGACTATTATCCCTCTGCATATGGTAGTGGGGGATGGGATGGGTGGGTGCTTTTTTTTTTTTTTTTTTATCAAAAGTACATATAATAGCATAATAGTATTCTCTAAAGTATTTTGATGTTCTGGGGTCATTCAAGGTGATGATGTGTCCCTGATTTTATTTTCACTTTTTCTGAATAATTAAGATTTAAAGATTATACGAGATCACATGACTGTAAAGGTCTAATATAAGCCATCGGATTGAGGCAGAATTGTATTTATATCTAAAGCTGTATGTTAAAATATATCAGGGGTCCAGAAAAGCACTCGTTCGGTCGTAATGGACGAGTGAAAATTGTCTCGGACAACCAGATTTATCTTTGTCAGTCGTCCGTCGGACGAGTACTTTTTTCCAATGATATTAATGTTACAACTCAAATTTCAATAAAAATGTAAAGAAAATTTAAAACAAAGAAACGTGTTCACCGTACTTCGAAAACAAAATATTCCAGTCTGCACTCTAACGTTTGATTACACCGGAACTCCCATGACCTCAAATACAACATTTGCAATACCTTAGTCATTTTTCCGCGGTTATACTGATGTCATGTGCTCTCATTCTTAACAGCACCTATTCAGTCGGATGTAAACAAACACTACGACTAGGTCTAAGTCGCGCACAGTGTCGGACGCAAAGCAGCCATCACTGCATAGTTTTTTCACTAAAACTTCAAATAAAAATAGAAAACAAGTCACATGTCACACCCTCACTGATTAAGTTGCCATTTCATAGCTGAATTTGGACGAGTAAATTTCCAATCTGGATGAGTAAATTTTTCATCCCACCAGTCAGTCCTGTGCCTAGTGGTTTGAAATATTTGTCCAGACCCCTGTTTATGCTAATGACACTATACTACTATTAGATATGGTTTGCAAATACACACAACTAAACATGTTTTCTGAATATTCTAACATGTGGCATATCTGACACACAACAAAAGACAACCGCAAATGGTCACCTCAGGTGAGTTGGTATCATTATATTATTATCAACTATTTGTTTATATGCATTCTCGGCAATGTAATGTTCTTGATAATCAAACAATTGTCACAATCATTGACAACAATATTACTGCCTGCATTGTACACTGATCCTTTTAAAATTTCTACAGTTAGTAGTAGAAACTTAGGACAGCAGTAGTCAAGATTTCAAAGATGTTTCAACATTTACCACTCTGAAATTAGTTGGGCATTACTATTGACATTTACTGGATGAAACAATATGTACATAGTCTTGATAACCAAAACTACTTCTTCTCTTAAACCTGGTCAAGATTTATATTCAACTATCCATAGAACATTTGTGGAAAATCAATTTAGTCCTGCGATGATAAGACATAATGTGGGTTAGAAACACAATAATTATGGGTATACGTGTGTAAGAAGACCTATATATATCCGAGGAATCTGTTTTATATATAGTTATTCACAACTTGTTATCCTATCAATTGTCATGTATACACAGCTCAGACTTGGCATCTATATACCAATACTTTCATCATCTCTGAAGCTCTGTGCAACTCCTTCAGACAGAATAAATAACTGCTCTTTATAGCCTCATACCGGTAGTCTCTAAGCAGGCCACATATACATTGAACACTATTTTGACCACATAAATATCCTTATGATACCGAACAGATTCTAATATAACCTATATGATAATGATGTTAATTAAAACACACCAAAGTATTATACAAGGTCCCATACCCAACTGTTATTTTACCTTTTTGGGGAGATTGAATTTCAAATATTACGATTATACAAATGCCTAACCATTTCAGTCTGAAATGAAAACTAGTGATGGGAAAAAGTCTGGCTTGGATAATGGATAATTGCAAAACAAAATTGGTTGATTATCAATTATAGTTGGTTCTCCAAAATTAGTACAGAATTGGACTTTGGAAGAAAATTAATGTTTATGGAATTAGTATCGTTAAGTGTCCCTTCCGCAATTTTGACATATCTCTAATTCTTATAATTGCAGCTGTATAACCTAAATCGCTTGTAAAAAAAATACTGATGAATTTTGTTAGTAAACAAAGAATCAACAATACTACTTCTTGCTTAGGTTAAATTACAAAATACAACAGTTTCATGATACAAAGCCACAATTTCAAAACCACTTACCGCCATTCTCAAAATGCCATCAATGAATGATTTATTTTTTTTCTTTGACTAAATTTCAATGATTTTATTCATCTGCCCACCCCTGGTAAAAACTGAAGGGTCAAAAACTTTGTTCAGACATTCATACAGAAGCCCAGCCGAAGAGATATTGGCATGAGCAATTTGTGACCATTTGAAAACATCACATAATGAAAGCTATGTCAATTTTGCTCTAATGTTAATACTGTTTTATTCAAAACAGATAGTGAAAACATTTTAATATTGCTTTGATTGTAGAGTTGTGTTATAAATGTATAATGAAGGTCTTTAATTAAAGATTTGGTAAATTTAAAAACATGCCTGCATAAACTTGATAACTAAAGACAGCATCTCTCGAGGTTGCCTTACTTATCTATGTATCTTATTTATTTAACAGGTTTTAGTCCACTATCATGTCATATCTGCCTTTCAGTGAAGAGAGATTGTCCTATGAAAACTAAAGACAGTGGTATTGCTGTATGATAAATGATCATCTCACTTGGTACTACTGCATATCACAACCTCACTTTAGATGGGTTGCTGCCATGATCATTTAAGTTAAAGTAACATACACTGATGAATGTGACAGGCTTAGGACAGATTCTAACGAGGCTTATGAGAGCCATTTTATTGGTCTTTAGTGACGATAGCAATTATCACTGCTCCCAACATTGCCCGACATAGCCTCCGGCTCTGGCACTCTTAAGAAAAAGGTAATTGGATCAAGTGTACATCTATACCAGCAGTCTAGAATCTTACAGGACTTGACAGGTCTGATTAGCACTTCCAATGTCCATCAATGTTTAGGCTTACATCGCTGTAACATGTGTAAATCCTCTCTTTGTTCCGCCCTTGTGCAGCAAGTCTGATTAGTTTTAATTCAACATCATCCTAACTTAATTTTCAAAAGATCTACACAGACTGTACATGTAATTAATTTATCAATGAGAACCAAGAGAAATAGTTTCCACTGATCAATGAGAACCAACAGAAATAGTTTCCATTTATCAATGAGAACCAACAGAAATAGTTTCCATTTATCAATGAGAACCAAGAGAAATAGTTTCCATTTATCAATGAGAACCAACAGAAATAGTTTCCATTTATCAATGAGAACCAACAGAAATAGTTTCCATTTATCAATGAGAACCAACAGAAATAGTTTCCATTTATCAATGAGAACCAAGAGAAATAGTTTCCACTTATCAATGAGAACCAAGAGAAATAGTTTCCATTTATCAATGAGAACCAAGAGAAATAGTTTCCATTTATCAATGAGAACCAACAGAAATAGTTTCCATTTATCAATGAGAACCAAGAGAAATAGTTTCCACTTATCAATGAGAACCAAGAGAAATAGTTTCCATTTATCAATGAGAACCAAGAGAAATAGTTTCCATTTATCAATGAGAACCAAGAGAAATAGTTTCCACTTATCAATGAGAACCAAGAGAAATAGTTTCCACTTATCAATGAGAACCAACAGAAATAGTTTCCACTTATCAATGAGAACCAACAGAAATAGTTTCCACTTATCAATGAGAACCAACAGAAATAGTTTCCACTTATCAATGAGAACCAAGAGAAATAGTTTCCACGTATCAATGAGAACCAAGAGAAATAGTTTCTACTTATCAATGAGAACCAAGAGAAATAGTTTCCACTTATCAATGAGAACCAATTATCAGTGAACAACAGCAGAAAAAGTTTTTCTCAGTAAACACCAAGAGGAATAGTTCATTTGTCAAAGATACCAGAAGTCTTCACTTAAAATTGAATATGAGGACAACACCATGAAAAACAAAAACAAACAAAAACAAAGAACACCATCTTCATTAATCATGCATCAAAATCAAGAGGACTGAATTTTTTTTGAATACACACTAATGTGCAAGTAACATAAAGCAACGATAGTTCTTATTTCACAGTTACAAAACCATACAATCTCATGGACAGATCTAGACTCTGAACTGGTATTGGGTTATTCCACAACCAGCTGAAATCCATTACATCAACTATGTCTGACTTGACTTGGAAAAAAAGAGGATCTTACTTTAACGTAGATGCAATATTGATTATTTTAACAAGTCCAATAACTTTTCTGATAAAGATACCACAAGTGATACAGCCAATTATTAATGAGTGCAATAAATTTATAATAGATCAGTATATAACATTGATTCTATCTATAAATTAATAATGTCATTCAAAAATAAGCGAAACCTCTGGAATAAATTTCCCCTGAAGACAAGCTAATTTTGACTTATTCAGTCTGTATTTTACTACGGAGACAATCATGTGACGTCATAAAGTCTTAATTATGATGTCACAAAAATGTTATTGCACATCAGGTGTCTTTGATATTGATCAGATAAGTATCAGCGATAAGCTATGACACAACATGCCAGTTGTATGATAAACTCTGTTTCTTAACCAATATATTAGCCCAAAAATTGATTTCTCAAGCAACAGATTTCTACTGTGAGCTTCTTCTGTTGAGTGTGAGCCTGAGATACGAAAATAACTCACCACTAGGGTAAATCCCTGGATCCATAAATGTGGCTAACCCAAAGTTGGCAATGACAAATAAACACAGAATACCTTGGTAGATCGGAATCGCTAGTGAGAATTGATGTAACAGGTATGGACATCTGAAACAAATAAAATTGCACAGCATATCAGTTTAATTTTTCACAGAAAATCGCTAGAAAATTTCTACTTTTGGAAGAATGTTCAGTAGTAAATCACTTATGTGAATAACAATGTACATCTTAACTCCAAACCCGCGTTAGCATTTCATGTTTGCTTAAGAGTAAGTATAATGTTTTTCATACTTCCTCTACTGTAAACAGTTGATCTATTAAGATTTTCACAAGTTATCTTACAGTTGTCTCTAAACCCAAAATGGTTCCTCAGCGATACTTGACATGTATACATCCCCACATTTTTTTTCAAAATCAAGCCAAACTAGATTACCAATATGACTCCAGAATCAAGATAATGTTGATTCTTGATATTTCAAGGTGCACTGTTTCGTCTTCATTTCATTCAGTTAATATTGATCACATTTGGAATTTTAAGCTGATAATTGACTGAAGCATGAAATGAAGGTCAATTTCAACATTTGCAATGCAGCAATTCTTCCTTGCATATTGGGTATGGTTATAGAAGGCAAGGGAGATGTTTCAGGTATGATGTGTCTCCACTTTCATGCCGGTAATCATTGGCTGAAAGGCCTTGATAGTGGATAGAAAACCTGTCAAACATGCTGGTACCAACATTCACAGGTGACCATGCATATGCCAATTAGTATAAATGTTATTATTTTTGCTACCACTCTCAATCGACACAGTACTGTCAACAAGCTAAAACTGCTACCAGCCCATCAATAGACAGTATTCCACACCTTCCAGGGCTCTCACACCCCATTTTGGGACTGGGGCCCGGGGCCCTTAGAATTGGGGAAAAAAGATACGATTTTGCATTGGGAATGGGGCAAAATATCGGCCCCAAATCTGGCAGATCGAGAGCCCTGCCTTCCCTGCATAACAATGACAGACAGGTACAATGCTACCCACCCATCAATAGCCACACCCCTGACCCTGTATATCACTGACAGACAGGTACCCAATGCTACCCACCGATCAAATGCCACACCTCCTTCTTTGAATATCAATGACAGACAGGTACAATGCTACCTCACTATCAATAGCCACACCTCCTACCCTGTATATCACTGACTGACAGGTACCCAATGCTACCCACCAATCAATAGCCACACCTCCTACCCTGTATATCACTGACTGACAGGTACAAACTACCCAATCAATAGCCACACCCCTTCTGTGTATATCACCGACTGACAGGTACAATCTAACCCATCAATAGCTATACCTCCTCCTTTGAATATCACTGACTGAAAGGTACAATCCAACCCATAAATAGCCACACACCCGACCCTGTATATCACTGACTGACATGTACAATGCTACCCACCCATCAATAGCCACACCTCCTTCTTTGAATATCACTGACAGACAGGTACAATGCTACCTACCCATCAATAGCCATCCTTCTACTTTGTACTGAACTTATCCAGTTAGCTATACGGTTATGATTAAGAACCAATCAATGGCCAGTTAGATCAAACTACTATCCAGTTTATCTCTGACTGACTGGTACAATGCTAATCATCCATCAATAGCCCTTTTCATCACTGACAGCTCTTATGCTACCAACCCATCAATAGCCATTCCTCCTACCTTGTATATCAGTGACTGACAGCTAAATGCCATCTCTTTCCCATTGATTCTCATTTTCCCTTCCTACTTATTTTTTTTGTCTGCTGACCTTCTTATATTCCTATCTTTTGTTTTTGTCTGCTGAAAGGCCATAACAGTGGATGTTAAAACTATTAAATAAATAAAAATATAAACAATGCTCTCACTCCATCAATAGCCAGGTAGCAACACCTACCCTAACAGAGTCCTCTCCTATAAGAATTGTTCTTGAAATCCTACATGTCTGGAAATGGTTTTCACCGGTATTTAAAATGTTTGAATTGAGCAAAGGTCCATTTAACCATCAACCTAACTCACTGGCAGAGCAGTCCCTCCGTAATATCTAATTCGGTCACTCAATTGTTGAAGATATGATATAGCTCAAAAGCAAATTCCAGAGTGAGACAGTCATTTGCATCGACTACAGTGGAAAAGATAGCAAAAAGGAGTTTCCTGAGAAATTCAGTTTTTGTCTAAAAAAGCTGATGGTTCCTCTTTTTGGAAGATACATATACTGTCAGCACCCTATAAAAGGCAGGAATTTTGGTGTTATATCAATGCCTGACAGACATGAAATAAATCTTAATGTCTGGAAAACATGTACTTTTATCACCAACAACAATCGTTTGATGTTTGGTTAAATTAAAGTAATAATTACAACAATACTTGATGCAAACCTACAGTATTCTTGACAAGTACCTATTCTTTCCACAGGAATTTAAAATTTCAATGTATTATTCTACTTTGAATAGATGGTGTGAACATGGAAATAAAAAGGGAAAGATGCCATCAAACATTGAAACGCAAGTTTCTTTTATTTCAAATCCTTTATATCATGTTTAGATTTGAAAAAAAGAAAGAACATCTGATAGTGTCTCTTGATAGTCCATCACCTGAGGTTCCTCAAGTGAAGACTGTTGGTTCATCTGAGCTATGGCCATATGACATGCTTTAAATATGTAAAAATTGTTTTCAGTTGTTCAAACAAAATAAATAGCTAACTTGTATTTATCATAGACCAGAAGTAGGTAGAGCTAACAAAAAAGGTTGAAGCCAATCACTTTTACTTGAAAAAATGGTTCACTCGAAAGACAGCTATTGCAGGAAATGTACTCCTTTTTCAGAAATTTTCAACATAAGTATTTCTTTTTTGTTTTCTGTGAGCTATTTTGAAATGCGTACAATGGAGAGAATGGGAGCTTGGCCGTTGACTGGTGTTGGTACAGTTTCCTTAAATAATCTTTCACTGGAATAACAAGACAGTTCCGCTAATTTCATTAGATTAACATTGATAAGTAATTGCAGTTGTAATTAGTAATGGAAAAAAGTTAAGGATACTTCAGTACACAAACAGCAAATTCAGACAAGGCTGTTTAAGTAATGAAAACAACGAAATCATGAAAACAATTGAAAAATATAACTTTAGTGATTTCATAAGTAATAACACTCTTCCATACAGTCTGGCATACAAGAAACTATTTTGTTTTATATGACAAGTGACAGATCAACACGTGACATTGATGTTGATGGGGTACCAGCACCGATCGACAGCTACATTTTCCACTACACCTTCATAATCCAGATAATTTGTGTTACATGGAATTTAGGAATGGTTATACATTATTGAATTGTCAGACATCGTACATCAGATACCAATTTGTACGATCAAAACAAATGAGCATGGGAGTGAAGTAATGAGAGAGGGGGGGTGTGTTATTCGGTAAACATTAACAGTATAAGAAGAATACTTACATAAATGCAAAGAAAAGTCCCGATGCCCCCAGAAGGAGTGTCCAGGCACAAGTTGCTGGTATTATGCGTGTTGATAGCTCGCAACGAGGCATGGTGGGGGTATTAGGGAAATATCAAACGGTTAACTCGCAAACAAAGATGGCATTCCTTATTTTTCAGTAGGACCGAAGTACATCTATTAATGATGCATCTCAAAGAAAAAATAGTGCATATTTAACATCATTTCACAACGCTGAATCGATCTGGCATGTCTATGATATGGTTGTTGAAATATATCACGTTATATTTCGAAGTGATTTTGAACTAAGTATCTAAATATATTTACCATGTGTCGGTTTACATGTTTTGTCCCTTCGCGAATGAATATGTGAAAGTAGTATTACCAATGAATTGTGGGAATAGAATTCAAGGGAAGTAAACACGATACACAAGTTTTATTACTTCCGGTTAAATTTACCTGAGGGCCTCTGAGTGCATGTGTCACCTGTGAAATGAGAAGCAAAGCGGAACTGTGACCATTTGTGCGGACGGTCCCATGTGTCGTGTGTCGTATAATTTTCTGCTTGTATGACATGAGGTCTGTTAGAAGAACATCATTCTCAATTTTCTGACAGTGACAAACTTTCATATTTTGGATTATTTCGATTTAATCAGAATGGGACAAGGGCACACTCGATCTCATCATGGTAACGAAAGTGGATCTGACACTTCATCCCAATCCTTAAACTATTCACACTCAAAAAGGAATTCGGCATGTTTGATGAAATTGTTTCAGGTAAGATATTATGATGCGTCGTTTTATAAATAATATTGATATCACAGCAACGATACTGTAGCTTGTAAACAAAACACTGATAACCACACAGGACTGTTAAAGACAATGTACATGTACACTGCATTATTTACAATGACGGGGATTTCTTACACATGTGTATAAATGGTTTTGACATTTAAACAGAGTTTTTTAATTGTCATGTGTATTATTTGGGAATTTAATAGTTAACTTCTCAATTTCCACTTATATTAACCATATGTTTCGAATACTTGATGTAGAGTCCTTAAATACTTATCAGACTGGACTCTTTTGATATAATATCAACTTTGTAATGCACTGTTGATATTTATACTCAAGTAACGCTGTAAGAGTTTGATAATTTTTTCCTTTCAATTTTACTAATAATTATTAATTTATTATGCTTTTATTTGTGACAATGCAAAAGAAAGGTAAATATTACTGGTAAAGTTTTACCTGAAATAGAAAAACACAGATGCTGAAGAAAATAATTCCCTATTTACTCAATATTTGAATGTTGATTTAACTATACATGACTCCTTTTATAAGAGACACTCTGTATATTTATATGTCTGTATGAATTTATGTATCTTTCTAAAAAATACAAAGGTCTTTTCTTCCTACCAACCTATCCTAGTTTTTTTTACTGCATGTCAGTAAAAAGACATGAATTGCTTGTAATGTGTTCATTTCCATCATGATTAATTTATATTTTAGCTTATTATACATTATAGTGTCCCTTCTGTTTTGACAAAGCTGACAACTTCCTGATATATTCTGTTACAAGATGTGTATTTGTGCTACTCTTTACAGTTAAAGATACGTTTACCAGTTTTTGGAGAAAAAAATCATTCTCGTTTATGCTGTTCTGTAACGAGATATCTCCTTTCTTGTAAGACTGTGTAGTTCAAAGTAGGTCTGTCTTTCCTGTTCTAACTATGTTCCTTCACCTTTACAAGACACCTGTCTTATTTGTTCTAATCAAGTACCTTCATCTTTTATAAGACATGTACACCTGTCTACTGTTTCATCACGGTACAACTTTCCTTTGCATAGTTAAGAGAATCATGTCTCAAATAATACTTGAGGCACATCAATCCCCTTATCAGACACATGTCTCAGCATTTTTAAGAAAGTTCTCAATGCATGTACTAGTTCATCCCATTCTCAAATAGTCTACCAAGGGACTAATTACACCCCTTAATTCAAGGCACCAGCTGTCTTTTGTTCTGACTAGATAGTATCCACATCTTACAAAACATTGTGTCAAACTTTTGTCTTTGTCATTCTTTACAGACTTCCTTCCTCCAGCTCCCCTTTTGAAACAGCTTTTTACATAATTATTGTCTCTCTGATGTGATATCCCTTCCTCTTACACGTTCCTTCATTACTAAGTACCTCTTCCCCTCATTTTTTATGAGTACTATCATAACCCTTGAAGCTGGTCAAACAAGGTACTCTGTAGTCTATACTTGTCCTTCAATTACCTGAAACTTGGAGATTTTCCTGAAGTGCATAGGTACATATTGTATGTCTAAATCATTGTTCATTAATATTTCATAACTCATATTCTTGTAGAAGGAAACTGGAAAAGGAAATTTTGTCATTTCATTTAGGGAATGGGAAATTGTCTGGATGAAATGGATGTGTCTCGATTATTTTGAGATTTTGTCATTGTTACTTGAATCAGTAATGCTTACCAGGTTTGTTGGAGAATGAATATACAGTTACTAGGTATTCCTGCAGTCCCACAGAAATTGAATCTTATTGATTTTCTTTAAATCAGGATTAATCATCATAATAAAAGCAGATAACAAGAAATCAGCAGACATAGAGATGTCGGATACACAATAACATAGTTTGTGATTGGTCTGGTGTTGTGATGAATTATTAAAGAGTTTGTGATTGGTTAGTTGATGGGATAAATCATAAGAGTTTGTGATTAATTAGATAATGGGATAAACTAATCATAACAGAGTTTTTAATTGGTCAGGTGTATAGATTATATTGGGATACAGACATTGTGATTGGTCAATGATGGAATGCACTGTGTACATTGTGACAAAAATTGTTATTGTCAGTTGACCAGGTGAATGCACAGTTACAGAGTGTATGATTGGTCAGGTTAGGTAACCAATGAGTACACAGTTACAGAGATTGTGACAGGATAGATAATAGAATAAGATGCTGCAGAAGATATGAGTGCTGGTCAGATAAATTAGAATGAAGTAACACTTCTTAAACAGATTGTACGTAATCAGGTAATGAACTAGCTGGAGTTAGGTGATCATAAGATATAGTTACAACTGTGTCAATGTATCAAGGTTATTAAATTCTGTCAACCATCTTCTACCTGTAAAAGCTCAAGGAATGGTACACTGCTTTTCTTCAGATGTATTTAAACATGATGAAGTATGTTTTGTCGTAAATATAAGACCAGGCTGAAGTCCCCTTACTAGGTTACTAGTACAACGGTCCTGCTTACCATGAGTATCCACCATACTTACGCCAATCTTGCTCACTAATAGTAAACATTAATAAGTAAGACAAGGCTCTAGTTCCCCACCCTCCCTCTCCCCTCCCCAGTCCTGTCTATAAGTAGTTACATTAATAAGATATGGCTCTTGTCCCCCTGCCAGACTAACACCAGTCCTGTCCATCAGTAGTTACATTAATAAGACAGGGCTCTAGTCCCCTGCCAGACTAACACCAGTCCTGTCCGTCAGCAGTTACATTAATAAGACAGGGCTCCTGTCCCCAACAAGACTAACACCAGTCCTGTCTATAAGTAGTTACGTTAATAAGACAGGGCTTTAGTCCCCTGCCAGACTAACACCAGTCCTGTTTATAAGTAGTTACATTAATAAGACGGGGCTCTAGTCCCCTGCCAGACTAACACCAGTCCTGTCTATAAGTAGTTACATTAATAAGACGGGGCTCTAGTCCCTTGCCAGACTAACACCAGTCCTGTCCATCAGCAGTTAACACTAACAATAAGGCTCCAGTCTTCTCACCAGATTTACAATGGTAAGTTGAAGAGATGAACGAAAGTATAAAACATTAATAAGTCCGGACTCTTTATTTCTGTTAAGTCCAATAAAAAGATCACAGATGTAAAATCACACATAAACTAAATCCTGTTGAACTCCTGTTTGAATGAGGTGAAGGATCACGGTGGACGGATATTTGTATCATTTAAATGTTTTTTATGGATTTCTTTTAAAATTGAATTTATCCCAGAGTGATTAATGGTTTGGCCTAAACCTGATTCAGGTTTTTACTGGTCCAGAGGACCTGGTTTGTTGTCTGCATCATTAATCTTTCACCCTTGCTGTTAGAAAAACATTTCTCACCTTGTTATTTCCTGTGGGTTCAGCACACATTTACACAATGTTGTTTGAGTACTAAGAGAGGTCAACGTTTTCACAGTCATCTGAATTTTCAACTTCTTTCAAAGCTTTGAAATTGAAAAATTAGGTACCGGGGTAAATTGATTTGAGCTGAATGTATTTCAGGTTCTTTGTTATAATCAAAGTTTTGTTCTGACTGCAGACAATTTTTTATGGTTATTGGTCTTTGTGTTTTGTAGATGAAATTGATATCTATGATATTATCACTACGTAATTATTTACTAGATATATTTTAGTTTTCTTAGTTTAATTTGTCTCAAGGTTATTCAAAAGACTCCTAGTCTCTCAAAACTTAAATTGACTCCTCCACTTTTTTGTCGTTCTCTTTTTACATAGAGCAAATCCTGTCTTTGATATCGATAAATAACTCTTAACATTTTAGTTTCAAGCATTTTCCCTGTATCTTTCAAAAGATTCTGTAATTTCATCAAGTTTACTGTTATTATTTAGGCCAATATTACTAAAAATAACATCACCTGAATAAATCCTATCATCTTTTGTTTGAAGTGTGATACACACTAGTCATGAAATGACATTAGTAATGCAGACAAGACCACTGGAGTGAAATAATCATACAACCACGAAACCTTAATGTCCCTCAATATTGTGTAGCACATTGTATTATTTCAATAATAGTTCAGACCAGATTTATTTGTTTAAGAAAACAAATATTTATTTAGGTAATCAAATGTGTACAATGTAGGATATATTACAATATACCACATATGTACATACACATACATACATGTACATAAAACCTTGCGATGTGGTCCATTTTACCCATCTTTCATGCAGCCATTAGGATTTAGATGAATCATGTTCATGAAGTGATCGCAAGTATTTGGCATCAAATGTCACCAGTATCAACATAATTGAAAGTGAAGATGGATTCCTTTAAACATTACTAAGTCTAGGTAGAGTTATACAAGAACATTGAGTCTCTGACAGAGTTATACAATAACATTAAGTTTCTGACAGCAGAGTTATAAAATGACACTGAGTTTCTGACAAAGCAGAGTTATAAAATGACACTGAGTCTCTGACAGAGTTGAGTTATAAAGTGACATTAAGTCTCTGACAGCAGTGTTATAAAATGACACTGAGTCTCTGACAGCAGAGTTATAAAATGACACTGAGTCTCTGACAGAGTTGAGTTATAAAGTGACATTAAGTCTCTGACAGAGTTGAGTTATACAATGACATTGAGTCTCTGACAAAGCAGAGTTATAAAATGACACTGAGTCTCTGACAGAGTTGAGTTATAAAGTGACATTAAGTCTCTGACAGAGTTGAGTTATACAATGACATTGAGTCTCTGACAGAGTTGAGTTATACAATGACATTGAGTCTCTGACAGAGTAGTGTTATACAATGACATTGAGTCTCTGACAGTGTTGAGTTATAAAGTGACCTTGAGCCTCTGACAGAGTAGTGTTATACAGTGACATTGAGTCTCTGACAGAGTAGTGTTATACAGTGACATTGAGTCTCTGACAGAGTAGTGTTATACAATGACATTGAGTCTCTGACAGTGTTGAGTTATAAAGTGTGACAGAGTAGTGTTATACAGTGACATTGAGTCTCTGACAGAGTAGTGTTATACAGTGACATTGAGTCTCTGACAGAGTAGTGTTATACAGTGACATTGAGTCTCTGACAGAGTTGAGTTATACAATGACCTTGAGTCTCTGAGACATCACTGATTGATGACAAAGTGCTGGTGGAGTTATACAATGACCTTTAGTTTTTGACCTGCATCATGTTTTGATGACACTCATTCGCAAAGTGGATTGCTGAACATTGTCACCCTTCATCTACAGGTATTTTTCTATGAAAGTCTACAAGTTATGGTACCCAGGTAATGAAGATGATCAATTTACAGCATATTTTTATATGGTTTTCCAGAAGTTGGAACTGACTGCAGATGAAGACCACAGTCACCCAGGAGAACTTAGCAGAACAACATTTGAGGTAAATCTTGTTGTTTCTGAAACAATCACACTTGCCTTGTAACCTGTAAACCTAGTCACCAACTTTACAGTCACACTAGTCACCTACAAAACCATCACACTGGTCACCAACTTTACAGTCATACTGGTCACCTAAAAAACAGTCACATTGGTCAACTACAAAACAGTCACACTGTTCACCTACAAAACAGTCACACTGGTCAACTATGAAACAGTCACACTGGTCACCTACAAAACATTCACACTTGTCAACTATGAAACAGTCACACTAGTCAACTATGAAACAGTCACACTGTTCACCTACAAACAGTCACACTAGTCACCTACAAAACAGTCACACTGGTCACCTACAAAACAGTCACACTGGTCACCTACTAAACAGTCACATTGGTCACCTACTATACAGTCACACTGGTCACCTAAAAAACAGTCACATTGGTCACCTACTAAACAGTCACACTGGTCACCTACAAAACAGTCACACTGGTTACCTACTAAACAGTCACATTGGTCACCTACTAAACAGTCACACTAGTCACCTACAAAACAGTCACATTGGTCAACTACAAAACACACTGGTCACCAACTTTACAGTCAGACTGGTCACCTACAAAAACTCACACTGGTCACCTACAAAACAGTCACACTGGTCAACTACAAGACAGTCACACTGGTCAACTACAAGACAGTCCTACTGGTCAACTACAAAACTGTCACACTGGTCACCTGCAAAACAGTCAACCTGGTCACCTACAAGACAGTCACACTGGTCAACTACAAGACAGTCACACTGGTCACCTACAAGACAGTCACACTGGTCAACTACAAGACAGTCACACTGGTCACCTACAAAACAGTCACACTGGTCACCTACAAAACAGTCACACTGGTCACCTACAAAACAGTCACACTGGTCACCTACAAAACAGTCACACTGGTCACCTACAAAACAGTCACACTGGTCACCTACAAAACAGTTACACTGGTCACCTATGAAAGAGTGACACTGGTCACCTACAAAACACTCACACTGGTCACCTACAAGACAGTCACACTGGTCACCTACAAAACACTCACACTGGTCACCTACAAAACTGTCACACTGGTCACCTTAAACACTGAAAAAGTGCGTTAGATTGCACTAAATGACTCCATTGTTCTAAATGAATAATATTTCTACTGACAATCAAATTTTGTTTTAAGTTTTCAAGAAATCTGCAATGTTTATGTTTAAGTGACGTTGGACATGGTTCAATATATATCTATGATATGTATGTTGGCTCAGACTTCATGGTTGTGTCAACATGAATGTAGTGATTCATATCAGACAATAACTTATTTCATTAAGTAACTATATTTTCCATTGTTTTGGCACAATAATAATTTCTTCCCACATGAAAAATAAATATATATACACATACACATATATTAAGTATATTAATATATTAAATTTACCAACTGCAATATTTACTATAAATCTGTACCTCAACATTTTTAAATGGCACAATATTGTATAGAATTACATTAGGATAATGTGTCTATATATACAATATTGTGCTATTTAAAAATGTTGAGGTACAGATTTATACTAGATATTGCAGTTGGTAAATTTAAACACTTTCGACACTTAAAAGAAACCATATTACGATCTGGAGTGAAGTACAGTCATGTATCATGACATCATTTTATCCTTTTATAATTTAGTCCTACAACACTCCCGAATTCAAAGAATGTCCAGCGTACCTTTATTTAGTGTAAATATATGATCATCAGTATTTATGTTGAACAGGATATGGCCGTGTTCAGCATATAATTTGGTAACATCAAGACATTTTTACATTAACCTTTTAATAACGTTTTTACACTTCCTTATGTAAATGAAGTTATTCTTGACTTCAGTATTGAACAATTTGAATATTTTGCTTTAAAGCCATATTTCTTGATATGTTCCATCATTTTTAAAATTATTTAGATTTATCCACAATCTTTTGTGATTTAGAAACCTTTTAAAACAAACAGTTGTCAAAAGATGAACTTGTGAATGACTGAATGTGATTGGTATTTTTTGTAATTCCATATTATCTATACAGCAGCTACTGGCCACACAGTTTTAACACAAAAATGAACACCTCCCCCACTAAGGTATTTGATGTGGCTAGACATGTTAAAGAGTGAATGCTCCATTAAGTTAATTCAATGGTTGTTAGATAACTTTATTTATGAATTCACGCAAAATATGTATTGAAGATTTAGGATATGATCCTTGAGAACTTTGTAATATTTTGAAAATATTTGGTTATATTTAAATAATTAAAATTTTAGAGACCTCAGAATTATTGTCAGATGATTCCTAATTAAAGACATTGTTACCTGATGTATATGTACTTTTTTTATGTTGTTTTAGAATGCCTTTCATGGTCCCTTGGATAAGTTTGGGAAGCTGCTGTATCTACAAATGACACAAAACCATGGCAACCACTCAAGGGAACGCATCACCAAGGAGCAGTTTGTGAAGTCAGGGAAAGAAATCATCAAAATGTTTGATGAGGCTGTGCAGCTCAAGTATTATTTTCATCTGTTTGCAGCAGGAAAAGATCATATGAACAAAGAAGGTAAGTCATCATTGACCCAGTGCTAAGTATAAGGTCATGATTGTAGTGAATATTTCAATCCCTAGTTATCTCCCCTTTGGCTTTGCTGACAATATATAATTTTCAGACAGTAAAGATAATCAGCTGTATTCACTGTGTTGATATTAATTTTATGTTGATAGTTATTTATCAACCATGCTGTCATATAGTAATATGGTGTTTTATAGTTATCACTTCACTGTTTCTAGATGTGTTTATGTAAAGCATGTAGATAGTGTAAAATATATTTCAAGAACCTCTACATGGATTGAATTTACAAAATACCACCAAGTTATACACCTTGAATAGATTTCATTGGTCAAGGTAAAGGTAGCGTTAAACTCAGCTTGTGGGTTTGTGTTTACAGATGCTCTACAGATGATCAGTGTGGCTTACGCTCTGACTCTATCTGCCTCCTCTATACCATTCAACAAGACCAGTAAAGACGAGCAAGTTTTTTCTGCAATGGTACAGAGCATGGTTAGTATATTATACAGAACTGAATAAGATTTTAAAAAATAGAAGAAACCTTCCTAAGATTTAGCAATAAAGGGACCTTCTGAAGGTTTAGCAATAAAGGGACCTTCTGAAGGTTTAGCAATAAAGGGGGCCTTCTGAAGGTTTATCAATAAAGGGACCTTCTGAAATGTTTAGCAATAAAGGGACCTTCTGAAGGTTTAGCAATAAAGGGGGCCTTCTGAAGGTTTATCAATAAAGGGACCTTCTGAAATGTTTAGCAATAAAGTGGACCTTCTGAAGGTTTAGCAATAAAGTGGACCTTCTGAAGGTTTAGTAATAAAGGGGGCCTTCTGAAGGTTTAGCAATAAAGGGGGCCTTCTGAAGGTTTAGCAATAAAGAGGGCCTTCTGAAGGTTTAGCAATAAAGTGGACCTTCTGAAGGTTTAGCAATAAAGTGGACCTTCTGAAGGTTTAGTAATAAAGGGGGCCTTCTGAAGGTTTAGCAATAAAGGGGGCCTTCTGAAGGTTTATCAATAAAGTGGACCTTCTGAAGGTTTAGCAATAAAGTGGACCTTCTGAAGGTTTAGCAATAAAGGGGGCCTTCTGAAGGTTTAGCAATAAAGGGGGCCTTCTGAAGGTTTAGCAATAAAGTGGACCTTCTGAAGGTTTAGTAATAAAGTGGACCTTCAGAAGGTTTAGTAATAAAGGGGGCCTTCTGAAGGTTTAGCAATAAAGGGGGCCTTCTGAAGATTTGGAAATAAAGGGACTTTCTGAATGTATAGCAATAGAGGGGACCTTCTGAAGGTTTAGCAATAAACTGGACCTTCTGAAGATTTGGAAATAAAGGGACTTTCTGAATGTATAGCAATAAAGGGGGCCTTCTGAAAGTTTAGCAATAAAGGGGACCTTCTGAAGGTTTAGCAATAAACTGGACCTTCTGAAGGTTTAGTAATAAAGGGGGCCTTCTGAAGGTTTAGCAATAAAGTGGACCTTCTGAAGGTTTAGCAATAAAGTGGACCTTCTGAAGGTTTAGCAATAAAGTGGACCTTCTGAAGGTTTAGCAATAAAGGGGGCCTTCTGAAGGTTTAGCAATAAACTGGACCTTCTGAAGATTTGGAAATAAAGGGACTTTCTGAATGTATAGCAATAGAGGGGACCTTCTGAAGGTTTAGCAATAAACTGGACCTTCTGAAGATTTGGAAATAAAGGGACTTTCTGAATGTATAGCAATAAAGGGGCCTTCTGAAAGTTTAGCAATAAAGGGGATATTCTTAAGGTATAGCGATAAACTGGACCTTCTGAAGGTTTAGAAATAATGGAATGTTTTATTTCTAGCAATTACTTGACCATCTGTAAGTTTAGCAATAAACTGACCATCTTAAGGTTTAGCAAAAAGGGACCATTGCAAGGCATTGCAATACTTAAAGTTTAACCAAGAAAATGTCAATATTATTTACTGAAGAAAGAGATCCTTGAAAAGGCTTACTTAGAGATAACATTTCAGGGATCATCATGTTTGAAATAGATGTTCAATAAATAAGGTCTGCCAAGGACCTTAACAAGACAAATTGACAAAGAAAATTGTGACATAGCTTTCCTTTAAAAGTTAAAAGGCTTTGCTATATTCTAAGATTCAGATCTGTTTGGTATTTCTAATACAGTACCAGGGAATATTCACTGAGTTTTTTTTCTCTTACAAAAGCTCTTCGTTTTTGCCCTGTGTTACATTTCCCCTAATCAATAAACAAAAATTAAGAATTTTCAGGATGAACTTTAGATCATTGATTTTCACCCTGGTAGCAAAAGGGTGAATCGATGGAATCTATTTGCGTCTTATTTCCTTGTCAAAATATACATTGTGGCATTTGTAATGATTTGAATGGATTTGCAATGTGTTGTGTGTGCTGCTAGAAACTGTGTGATGGTTGTGTTACAAGTGAGATATATCCTTAAAAAACTGGAGTACGAGGCGACCTCAAAAACAAGTCTGTAGTTTCTTACATAAATAAGCCTGCATTTGCTTACTACTGACGAAAATCAGCCACTTTCTAATTTGCTGTTTTTAAGGGATAGGAATTGTTACAAGCAGGTGCCCATTTATTTGATGAAATGTGGTATTAGAACTCGGAGAAAGGAGTTTTTTTATGCAAGATGTGGTAATTACCTCAGTGGATTCTGTTCCTTCTCTAAAGATGTATTAACCCCTCTATAAGAATTATTTCATTGCATCTATCACAATCTACTTACACAACCGATTTCAGACCAATTGAATCAGAAACAAATTTCCTCTTTTTGGCTAACCCCTACAGCCTCAGTACCAACGGATTGGCCATGGAAATACACTAGTTTGGGAATGGAAGTTCCATATACGGCTTTGCATGCTTTCAGTGTTTAGTCTGGAGAAAGTTTTAAGAACACTGATGTATTTTATCTATTCCAAGGTCTAATTATAGATATATAATAACATACAATCTTCAAACAGGCTTTTGGGTAAGGCACACACATTTGGCCTCTTTATTGATTTCTGGATTAAAATGGACACCGACCCATTGTAGTACATGTATAACACACACACCAACCCATTGTAGTACATGTACAACACACACATCATCCCATTGTAGTACATGTATAACACACACACCAACCCATTGTAGTACATGTATAACACACACCAACCCATTGTAGTACATGTATAACACACACCAACCCATTGTAGTACATGTATAACACACACATCAACCCATTGTAGTACATGTATAACACACACACCAACCCATTGTAGTACATGTATAACACACACACCAACCCATTGTAGTACATGTATAACACACACATCAACCCATTGTAGTACATGTATAACACACACACCAACCCATTGTAGTACATGTATAACACACACACCAACCCATTGTAGTACATGTATAACACACACACACATAACACACACACCAACCATACATGTATAACACACACCAACCCATTGTACATGTATAACACACACACCAACCCATTGTAGTACATGTATAACACACACACCAACCCATTGTAGTACATGTATAACACACACACCAACCCATTGTAGTACATGTATAACACACACCAACCCATTGTAGTACATGTATAACACACACAACACATTGTAGTACAGCACATGTATAACACACACCAACCCATTGTAATACATGTATAACACACACACCAACCCATTGTAGTACATGTATAACACACACACCAACCCATTGTAGTACATGTATAACACACACCAACCCATTGTAGTACATGTATAACACACACATCAACCCATTGTAGTACATGTATAACACACACATCAACACACACCAACCCATTGTAGTACATGTATAACACACACACCAACCCATTGTAGTACATGTATAACACACACACCAACCCATTGTAGTACATGTATAACACACACCAACCCATTGTAGTACATGTATAACACACACACCAACACATTGTAGGACATGTATAACACACACCAACCCATTGTAATACATGTATAACACACACCAACCCATTGTAGTACATGTATAACACACACATCAACCCATTGTAGTACATGTATAACACACACCAACCCATTGTAGTACATGTATAACACACACATCAACCCATTGTAGTACATGTATAACACACACCAACCCATTGTAGTACATGTATAACACACACACCAACCCATTGTAGTACATGTATAACACACACACCAACACATTGTAGGACATGTATAACACACACCAACCCATTGTAGTACATGTATAACACACACACCAACCCATTGTAGTACATGTATAACACACACACCAACCCATTGTAGTACATGTATAACACACACACCAACCCATTGTAGTACATGTATAACACACACACCAACCCATTGTAGTACATGTATAACACACACACCAACCCATTGTAGTACATGTATAACACACACACCAACCCATTGTAGTACATGTATAACACACACATCAACCCATTGTAGTACATGTATAACACACACCAACCCATTGTAGTACATGTATAACACACACCAACCCATTGTAGTACATGTATAACACACACCAACCCATTGTAGTACATGTATAACACACACAACAACCCATTGTAGTACATGTATAACACACACACCAACACATTGTAGTACATGTATAACACACACCAACCCATTATAGTACATGTATAAACCACACACCAACACATTGTAGTACATGTATAACACACACACCAACCCATTGTAGTACATGTTTAACACACACACCAACCCATTGTAGTACATGTATAACACACACACCAACCCATTGTAGTACATGTATAACACACACACCAACACATTGTAGTACATGTATAACACACACCAACCCATTATAGTACATGTATAAACCACACACCAACCCATTGTAGTACATGTATAACACAGATGCCAACCCATTGTAGTACATGTATAACACACACCAACACATTGTAGGACATGTATAACACACACCAACCCATTGTAGTACATGTATAACACAGATGCCAACCCATTATAGTACATGTATAACACACACACCAACCCATTGTAGTACATGTATAACACAGATGCCAACCCATTGTAGTACATGTATAACACACACAAACCCATTGTAGTACATGTATAACACACACACCAACCCATTGTAATACATGTTTAACACACACACCAACCCATTGTAGTACATGTATAACACACACACCAACCCATTGTAGTACATGTATAACACACACACCAACACATTGTAGTACATGTATAACACACACCAACCCATTATAGTACATGTATAAACCACACACCAACCCATTGTAGTACATGTATAACACACACACCAACCCATTGTAGTACATGTATAACACACACACCAACCCATTGTAGTACATGTATAACACACACACCAACCCATTGTAGTACATGTATAACACACACACCAACCCATTGTAGTACATGTATAACACACACACCAACCCATTGTAATACATGTTTAACACACA